CAGAAGTTTAGAAATCACCAAGGAAAGACAGATGTGTCAAGAAAGCTTGTAACACATACCCTGAGTCTAGGGTCTTGAAATGAAACCACTGCCTGGTTTCTTATAAGTCTCAGTACTTGGAAGACTGAGGAAGGAGGTTTGGTTGAGCCCAGGGATTTGAGACCAGCTCAGACAACATACCAAATCTCGGTCTCAAAAAATGAATTTAAAAAGTCAATTAGAGGGAGCTGGGGAGATGGCTCAGCAGTTAAGAACATTGACTGTTCTTGCAGAAGACCCGGGTTTGAATTCCAGCACCCACATGACAGCTAGCAACTGTCTGCAACTCCAGTTCCAGGGGATCCAACTGCCTCTTCTGTCCTCCGTGGGCACTTACATGCAGGCAATGTGCACATACACATAAAATAAAAATAATAAATAAAATGTATTTTAAAGTCAATTAGAAGATCATTGACAAAGAGGAAGGAGAAATACAGATCCTATCAAGAAGTTCCCACCAGGGTGCAGAGGTGTGACCTTCCTTCACAACTGAAGAGGCTGCAAATTAAGAAAGGAGTGAAATTATTGAGAAATTGATTAAAGAAGGATGGAATAAAGTAACAAATTAGTTAAAGAATGGGAACGGGGGAATGGAGCACTTTACAAGAAACAAGTCTGGAGGTGGTGTTGTAGCTCAGTTGGTAGAGTGCTTTGTCTATGCACGACAAAGCCATGGGTTCAATCCCCAGAGATGCAGTTAGATACAGGTGGGCTCTGTCAGTCAGTCTAAAAAGTGTGGGCTGATCCTGAACAAAATGGGAAGGCAGGAGGGCAGTGGGTTGCAAAATGCACACCTAGGACAGGGAGTATGGTCGGGAGACAAAAGCTGTGGTCCAGGTTGGTCATGTTTAGGATCTTATCAAAGCAGTAGCAGAAAATAGACAAAAATTGCAAATCCATAGAATGTGGTGATTGGTGAGGTGTAGGGAGGCCTGCAAAAGGAGGGAGGCTAGTTCTCTAAAACTGTTCGTGGGCTGAGTTGTAACTTAGTGGTAGTGTGCACGTCTAGCATGAATGCGACCCTGGGTCCAATTCCCAAGAAAAGAAATTAAAATATCTCAGCTTACTTCTGTTTTCCAGTAGTACTTAGCTGCATTGTTCCCTAAACACCCAATTTTCCCTTCCTTCCACTTGTGTGACTTTACCAATATTGCTTCTTCTGCCTTTGATAATATATCCCTATTTCCCTGTCTAGAAAGGTCCGATACCTTCTTTGAGTTCTGTTTCAAGGCCAATCTCATGAATAAAGTTAGCAATGATTCCCTCCAGACAAGATGCAGGACCACTCCGTCTGTGCCATGTTGTTGCAGAACCCTTCCCACTAGACTGACATCCTCTAGCACAGGCTCCCTAGCTTGTTCATCCCTATATCCCCAGATTCAAGGTCTGCCCCACTATTGAGAAATCAATAAATGTTTGTAAAATAAATGACACAGCCACCAACCACCCCAGCATTCTGGCTTAGATTATTTACTATTAGATTATGAATCCAATCATCAAAGTATGGACACATATTTCTATCTCCCTAGTTCTATGCACACAGGCATATGCACACACACACACACACACACACACACACACACACACACACACACACATAGAGGCATGTGCATACATACACAATACCTTTATTTTTCACAACACAATATCTTACAGATTAATTTTTTTTATTCTGAAGCTAACAGATTATGATGAAAAATAAGTAATTTGAAGAAAGGATTTGGAAAATCAAAGATGCTTTTTTAGTTGTAGGGTCCTATGGTCAGAAAAATGAAGAAGAAGATGGTTTGTAAGTGAACTTATTTACTGAGCTCTCTAAGCTAATGTCTGACGAGCATCTCAAGGTGACAGTTACATGAAGGATAAGCAAGAGTTCACCCTTTGCCCACATATCCTAATGTTCTGACCCAGTGGAATGACGCCAGCAGTCGTCTCTTCCTTCTCACCCTCTCATCCCTCTTCCCATTCCAAGACAGTGTAAAGATCTGTGTCTTTATCTCAGTGCAGCACACAGCACTCAACTCAGTTTCCCAAGCTCTAGATTCCCAGCTGCTGAAAGGAAGAGAATTTACCTTCAAGGATTTCCCATTCAATAACTAACTTGGACTCTTTTGTCTTTATTTTTGGATTAATTAATTAATTAATTTATTTATTTGGGAGTTTTAAAGACAGGGTCTGCCTGTAGCCCCAAATGGCTTGGAACTTGCTGTGCAGACGAGGCTGGCCTTGATCTCAAAGAGATCCACCTGCCTCTGCCCCGTGAATGCTGGGATTAAAGGCATGCATCACCACACCCAGCTTATGTTTCTATTGTATGTGTATGAGTGCTTTGCTGCATGAATGTAAGTGTACCCATGTCATGCAGTGTCCACGAAAGCAGGAAGAGGGTGTCTGATCCTCTGGAACTGGAGTTACCATCAGTTAGTGGATACTGGAATTCTAACCCGAGTCCTCTTCCAGAGTTCTTAACCACTGAGCAATCTCTTCAGCCCCTGTTGCTTTTATTTTTTGTCTTATCATGGATAGTTTGATTAATAAAAGACTTCTAAGTTACATATTAAGATTAAATCCTTGGGGCTGGAGAGATGGCTCAGCGGTTAAGAGCACTGACTGCTCTTGCAGAGGACCTGAGTTTGATTCCCAGCACCCACAAGTATGCCTTGCTCGGCAGGGAACCTCACTCTCATGAAGGATGATGATACCGACCAATGACAGAGTCTTGGACCCTGGGACTTGTGTCTTTTCAACAAGCCCTTTACTACAAAATTCATATGTTTTTTTATACATCCTAAGGAACTGGCAGTCACGTGGGATATGGAGTCACATACAAAGATTTAGGGTACAAAGAAACAGGGCATATAGCCTGTTAGTTGGCGCCAGAAGGATGCTTAAACTTTTATTCATGGTTATCAATGCCCATCCGGTAATTTATTGGCCATATTTTCTTTCTAGAGTTAAAAGCATGGTAAACTTTTAGCTTTTAGCTCAGGAGTAAACCTTTAACATGGCCTAATCTCTTAGCTAAGGATAGCTGAGTTATTGGTTCAGGACAAGGAGATGAACTAAGGGTTGTTGACCAAGACACTTTCTCACAGAGCAGGGAGCCTGCACTTAAGACCAGGCCCTTTTCTCCTGCCAATCTGGCAGTGTTCTGCAAGACAGGGATTATCAGAGCTACTGTTTTCAGTGCCCCTCGCTTTAACAGAGAATGTAGCCTGGACTTAAAAGTTTTAGGCTCATCTCACCCTAGGGTCTGGCATCTTGGTTTCCTATAAGGTTCATTCTGTGAAACCATCCTAATCTTCAGAAAGCTATGAAAGACTCCTACCTGTGATGCATGGGCCTGATTCTTCTCTTTAGAGCCCCTGGTGTGCTATCTGTCTGTCTCTGGTGCTGAGGCCTGACCTCTCCTCAGAGGCCCACTATGCTGCTGCCTATCTTTCCATGGCATTAGCTATCCTAATAAACTCATTATTACCAACAATTCATCCCAGTGTCCCTCTTGAATCTACATTGGACACACCTTTCAATCATATGATTGGCTGACTTACAAGCAGTTTAAGTCCCAGCCTTAAAGGATATTGACAGTTAACGTGAGGGCACTGAATGGAAAAGAGTGGGATCCTGAGACTTGAAATAGAGCCATGAGAAGACCCTGATGAGGCTGAGGGCATTGAACTCTCAGATTCTGATGGGCTTCTTTTGCCTGAGATCTCCTCCTTGCCCTTAGTGGCAGATGCATCCCACCCTCACCACTGCAGAATTGTTCTTTCCATCTTTGCCTGAAAAAAATTAATTCTGTATTGTGCATGGAACTGGCAATGACCTTCCTTGAAGGAGATGCCAGGCAAGACAATGTTGGTATTCCTCAGGGCTCACTTACCACTCATCTGCCTCTAGACCTATAACCAGATCGAAGGCTCTGCCGGGGAGGGGCTGTCGCAATGTTACATGTGAGGAGACAGTTATACTCCAGAAGAGCTTGTAAATTTAAAAAAAAATATTCAAGAAGTCTGGGGAATGCATGGGAATTGGTTTTAAGGGTGTGACCAAATGGGATAAATTAGATCATGCTGAATTTATTAACATGGGTATTAAACCCACTGAGCAGAGTCTCTGGGTTTAATGTTGATTGAACTAAAGTTGATTGAAATAAAGTTTATTTGATTGGTTGGCTAAAGTTTGGGTCAAAAGATGGCCAACTGTGAGTGAGCTGGAGATGCCAGATATCCCTTAGTTGACTCATTTTAAAAATTTTATTTATTTTTTTTTTGGTGTACTGCAGCACTTTATTTTTTCTTTACACGACGATGTGTTGCTGGGGCCTAATGTTCTCACTGAACAGTAGAAAACCAAAATTTGTCATTTCTTAAAAGAATTGAGTACAAAAAAACCTTACATAAATTAAAAGGATGAATAAATTTACAGGTGTAAATGCAAACATTCCCAACTCAAGGCAACTAACAACCCACAGGTCAGGAGGGAAACACCAGAACAGAAACTGGGTCCTAAGGCTCACCCTGTTAGACTGGCAAGTGCTAACTGGTTTAGGAACCCTTGCCAGTCTTGAGAAATCCTGAACAATCTGCTCTGTCGTTTACAATACCCTGCACAGATCACTGCACTGTGCTCAGATCCACCAGGCTGGGGATTTCTCTTCCATGGCGTGCTTGGCCTCAGCCACCAGGTGACTGAACAGAATCTGGCCTAAGGACTTAAATCAAGATATGCACAGGGTATTAAACATATACCAAGGGAACAGTTAACTTGAATACAGGGCCAGAAATCAGCAACAAGGCCTAAGATCCAGTGCTGATATCAGATACAAGCTTCAAGGACAAATTTCTTTTCAAAGGCTTATTCCAGTTTCATGAGGCTAGCGTGAGGTGTACATTTGCCAGGAAAAATTGATACTTCAGAATCAGCTCATGCAGCAGATGCCTGGCACCTGCTCAGTTCATCTAGAAGCATTTCTGGTGGACGATGGAGGGGCCTGACTCATCTTACTCCTGCTTGCTGATCCACATCTGCTGGAAGGTGGACAGTGAGGCCAGGATGGAGCCACCAATCCAGGCTGAGTGCTTGCGCTCAGGGGGAGCAATGATCTTGATCTTCATTGTGCTGGGTGCTAGGGCCATGATCTCCTTCTGCATCCTGTCAGCAATGCCTGGGTACATGGTGGTGCCGCCAGACAGCACCGTATTGGCATGCAGGTCCTTGCGGATGTCAACATCACACTTCATGATGGAGTTGAAGATGGTCTCATGGATGCCACTGGACTCCATACCCAGGAAGGAGGGCTGGAAGAGCGCCTCTGGACACCAGAATCCCTTGTTGCCGATGGTGATCACCTGTCTGTCAGGCAGCTCATAGCTCTTCTCCAAGGAGGAGGAGGATGCAGCAGTGGTCATTTCCTGCTTGAAGTCCAGGGCAACATAGCACAGCTTCTGGATGTCCAGTACAATCTTCCCCTCGGCTGTGGTGGTGAAGCTGTAGCCTGGCTCGTCAGGATCTTCTTGAGGTAGTCTGTCAGTTCCCGGCCAGCCAGGTCCAGATGCAAGATGGCATGGGGAAGGGCGTAGCCCTCATAGATGGGCACTGTGTGTGTGACCCCGTCACCAGAGTCCATGACAATGCCAGCGGTGCGCCCAGGGACAGCACGGCCTGGATGGCCACATACATGGCTGGAGTGTTGAAGGTCTCAAACATGATCTGTGTCATCTTCTCTCTGTTAGCCTTGGGGTTCAGGGAGGCCTCTGTCAGCAGCACCGGGTGCTCCACGGGGGCCACGTGCAGCTCGTTGTAGAATGTGTGGTGCCAGATCTTCTCCATGTTGTCCCAGTTAGTGACGATGCGGTGCTCGATGGGGTACTTCAGGGTCAGGATGCCTTGCTTGCTCTGGGCCTCATCACCCACATACGAGTCCTTCTGGCCCATGCTCACTATCACGCCCTGGTGGCGAGGGCACCCGATGATGGAAGGGAACACGGCTCTGGGGGCATCATAGCCGGCAAAGCCAGCTTTGCACATGCCGGAGCCTTTGTCGATGGCCAGCACAGCAATTTCTTCTTCCATGGCGGCCGACAGAGGATGAGGGCAAAGGAGAGACGAGAGGATGAGGAGCGCAGAGCAGGAGTAACAAGTGAGACCGACGGCAGCGAGTGAGCAAAAATTTTATTTATTTTTATTTTATGTGCATGACTGTTTTGCTTGCATGTATGTAAGTGCACCTGTTGTGCAATGCCTGTAGAGGCCAGAAGAGGGTGTTAGATCCCCTGGAACTAAAATTACACATGGTTGTTAGCCACCATGTGGGTGTTGGGAACCAAAGCAGAATCCTCTGCAAGAGCAGCCAGTGCTCTTAACTGCTGAGCCATCTCTCCTTCCTGGGTTGAATCTTGATGAAAGGATTCAAAAGCTCAGGGAACTCAGAATGCTGGAGGGAATTTGTTATGTAAAACCTACTAGTTCACAGTGGGAAGGCCCAGAAGATGTGCCCTTCACTGATGCTTATAAGAGACAGATTTGTGAGAGGAGCCATGGCATACTCAAAGAGCTCTGTCATCTCTCTTTGCAGGTCAGACCTTAGAGTGGGAGCTCCAGCTGCTCACTTCAATGAATTAAATGATCTCATTGGATCCTGGGGTAGCAGAGGTTAAGTGGCAGTGAACTGCCAAAGGCAAGGTGAGAATAGTAAGAGAATTTAAAGGGGGAGGGAAGGAGGGAGTGAGGAAGAGAGAGAGAGAGAAAGAGAGAGAGAGAGAGAGAGAGAATTCCTAGAAAGAAGAGCTGTGATTACAAACACTGGTTAATTAGAACTTCAATGTGAAGAGGTTGGAATGTTGCAAGTTCAGAGCCAGATTATCTTGGGCCATCTTTAGCCCCCTTAATAGCCATTTATTCTCTCCTCTATATGTGTCCTAGCATCTCAAACAGACTCTAGCTTCTACAAAACAAAAGGCTAGGAATGCTGTTAGATAGCATTTGAGGCCTATAGTTCGGATTTCCCCACTTTTCGGTATGATTTTCTTTGTTCTGTGACTGTAAAACTACATGAAATTCATCTATTATCACATTGGAACATGGTATTGGGGTATACCTGAAATTTGTGTTTCTAAGTCATCATCACTCATTGGTGACAGAATAAACTATTTTGCTCCTTTGAGGTGAGTGCTGTTTCTTCTGTCATAATCATTAATGAGCAGCACAGGCAGAGCAGCATCTGTAATGGCCTGACTCATGTAGCTCCTTGGCACTGGCTAATTAATCATGGTGTTCCTGGAAGGGAAATAAGTAAAGTGCCTATTAAGTTCTTGTTCTGTCTGTATAAGCAGAACAATTCCAGAAAGCCTACTTTTTTTTTTTGAACCATAGCAACAGAGAATCATGGCTCTCATCAACTAATTTCCAGGCTTGAGCCTGTTTACCTATCCAGAACACTTGGAATGAAGGGAAGGCCAGGCTTCTCTTGTGGGGGCTGAGTTTGGGTGCAGGGCTGGAGGGTTGAAAGGAACTGGGAGATCAAGAGATTCTTGGAGCCCCTGGCAAATGGAACATATCTTTTCGTGGTAGACACACATGGGCTGCTGGGCAGGTGGCTTCTGGATGAAAGATCATGTGCCCTTTTTCCACAAAGACTTGTTATAGGAATCACACAAAGGTGGTGTGATGGATAACTTCAGTTGTCAGCTTGACACAGCTGGGAAAAAGGAACTTCAATTGAAGAATTTCCTCCCCGGGATTTGACCTGTGGGGCTTTTTCTTAATGGCTAATTGATATAGGAGGGCCCAGTCGACTGTGGGCAGTGCCATCCCTAGGCAGGGGGGCCTGTCTTGTAAGAGAAAGAGAGCTGGAAGCGGGGAGCAAAGGAGGAAGCAAGCCAGTAAGCAGCATGCCTCCACAGTCTCTGCTTCAGTTCCTGCCTTGGCATCCCTCCATAATGGACAGCAATCTGTATGCCCAATAAACCCTTTCCTTCCCAAGTTGCTTTTGGTCATGGTATTTAGCACAGCAACTGGAAAATAACTAGGACAGGTGACTTTTTGCCAAAATTGGTTGTATGTTAGATTATATAACTGTTTACTTTGGGAGTCCCTGGACATCCAGTGTCAGCCATTTTGTGCTAGCTCATAGCTCTCAAATGCCTAGCATTAGCCATCTTGACTCACGCTGAAAATCCATATCAGTGACAGGTTTTGTAAACATAAACAGGTCTGGTGCTGGAGAGATGGCTCAGTGGTTAAGAGCACTGGTTGCTCTTCTACATGGTGTCTAACAGCTATGTGTAACTTCAGTTCCAGGGGATCTGATGCCTTCTCTGGCCTGCATGCACTGTTGTCTTATATGCACAGGTAAAACACATATATATAAAATAAAGATAATTAATTAAAAAATTAAAAATATAACTAGGCCCTCAAGGCCTTGATTTTTTTGTTTTTGTTTTTGTTTTGTTTTGTTTTTAACATTTCATCCCGTTTAGACATCAGGTGCTTTATTGGAACTGGCCTATAGTAACACTTCCTGGACCTATAGTTTATAGTAACAATCTAGGGAACAACAATATAGGACCAATGAACAGGCTATACCGCCTAAAGTTAGGATGTTTTACTTTAAGCTAGTGGAGACACTATCCCACTGTTGTTTTAGTGGGTTTCCAGTTAATTATTGCTTGGGGGAATGCCTGGGCACATACTGGGCATCACTGGCAGGCATTCCACATCTCATCCCAAGAGAGGCCTATTCTTTATTGGGCATGTACCTGTTGTGCTGGATAGCTTTAGTGTCGACACACATGGGTTGAGGGAGCCTCAGTTGGGGAATTGCCTTCATTGGACTGGCCTGTGGCCATGTCCATGGGGCACCTTCTTGATTGTTGAGTGATGTAGGAGGGCCCAGCCCACTGTGGGTGGTGCCACACCTGGGCAGGTGGGCCTGTGTTACATAAGAAAGTAGGCTGAGCAGGGGCCAGAAGAGCAAGTCAGTAAGAAGTGATCCTCCCTAGCCTGTGCTCCAGCTCCTACCTCCAGGGTCCTGCCTGGGCAGGTGGGCCTGTGTTACATAAGAAAGTAGGCTGAGCAGGGGCCACGGGAGCAAGTCAGTAAGCAGCACTCCTTCATGGCCTGTGCTCTAGCTCCTGCCTCCAGGTTCCTGCTCTGAGTTCCTACCTTGGGCTCCCTGATGAACTGTGACCTGGATATATAAGCTGAATAAACCCTTTCCTCCCCACGTTGGTATTGGTCAGAGTGTTTTGTCACAGCAATGGAGAAACAAACTAGGACAGAAATTGGTACCAGAGAGTGGGATATTGTTGTGACAGACCTGACCTTGGTATTTTTAGGAGGATTGTGGAAGCGTTCTGAACTTCAGGCTGGAAAAGCCATTGAGTGCTCAGAGTTTGTTGCTGTGGAGCTTGGAACAGTTATGTTGAAAGAGTTAACAGTGGAGGCCTGGCTTGTGAAGCTTCAAAGGGAAGCAGAGACTATCATGGCTGTTTGTGTGATGTTTTGAATTGAGAATCTGTGGGTTCTGGTCGGCTGGTGCTGAAGAATATGCTGTGATTAAGAAGAGACCAGAACCTGAAGTAAAACCTTTGCTTTACTGGGACAACTGATGTTGGTTAGCTGGGGCTGAAAAATCAGCTGTAAGTAACAAGAGACCAGCATCACTGTGGTGAAATCTTCTGGGAGGTATTGAAAGTGTGAAGGGGTCACAGAGAGCAGCTGAGGCTTGGCACTCTGAGAGGCCAGGAAAGGCCATAGGTGAAAGTGCAGCTTCAGTTACAGCGAAGACCCCAGGATTGAAGGTGTTGCACCCAGAGAGGCCAGAAGAGGCCATTGGTCAGGGTGCAACCTCAGTTTCAGTGGAGACCCCAGCTTTTTGAAGATGCCAGGACTGTGGGATGACCATCAAGGGCAGCGGCAGGTGTGGAAAGGAGCTGGCCTGGGTCTGCGAGATGAGCTGTGTGTGCTGTGGACTGCAGAGTCAGAGAAGTGGAGCTGCCAGAACCCTATGGAGCCCAGAAGATTATGAGTGAATCCCAGATGTCCAGCTCAAGGTACTTTGCTGGGCTTTGGTTTTGCTTAGGTGTGCCCATTTCTTCTTTTTGAAATAAGGCAGTACTTGTTTGGGATTTTACAGAAACCCACCCACAGTTAAGAGACTTTTAAAAGAGACTATGGACTTTTAAGTGTTTGGATTTTTTAATAATTGTGGGGTTTTTAAGGTTGTATTGTCTTATGTCATGATATTAATGTTAATATTGTGTCTTGGGGACAAGAATTGGAAAGGCTATAGTTTAATAGTGATGTGTTTGTGTGTCAAGTTGACAAGGGATCAATTGTGCTGGATAGCTTTAGTGTCAACTTGACACACCTGGGTTGAGGGAACCTCAATTGGGGAATTTCCTTCATTGGACTGGACTGTGGCCATGTCTGTGGGGCACCTTCTTGATTGTTGAGTGATGTGGGAGGGCCCAGCTCACTGTGGGTGGTGCCACCCTGGGCAGGTGGGCCTGAGTTGCATAAGAAAGCGGGCTGAGCAGGGGCCAGGGGAGCAAGTCAGTAAATAGTACTCCTCCATGGCCTGTGCTCCAGCTCCTGCCTCAAGGTTCCTGCCCTGAGTTCCTACCTTGGGCTCCCTGATGAACTGTGGCCTGGATATGTAAGTTGAATAAACCCTTTCCTCCCCAAGTTGGTATTAGTCAGAGTGTTTTGTCACAGCAATGGAGAAACAAACTAGGACATCTGTGTTACGATCTTGCTTCCTGAATGCTCAAGTCATTGGTCAGTCATACGGTAGTATCCTCCACTACTGAACTTTGTATCTATTGACGATGGCTAACATGTCAGCTTTATCACTTTCTGGGCTGAGCAGAAGTTTATGGCCTGCCACATGATAAAGTGTCACAGACTTCTGTTTTCCTACGTGCCAGAAGTCTTCCCACATGGGGTGGCCCCATAGGGGCTGGTGGCTCACCTCCCAATCCTGGAGATGCCATGTAGGGAGTCACAGAATAAGCCCCCTGTACACTGCCCAGTTACCATTATATACATGAAGGGGAGAGGGCTCATTCATA